TTAAATCAAAATTACAAATAATCTCAAAAAATATGTATTTTTGGTACTAGAAACATATACCAACCTCTTGATATTTTTTGATGGGTATATAAATACATATATTCTTGCGGGGTACCCAAAGATGGCTTAGCTTGATTATTATTCTATTGTTCCAATATTCCGAACAAGCATTGGAACGCTGCTATCCTGATGTGTCTACGTTCATTTGAAACGTAAACAACAATAATTTTTTTCAATAATGTGGAACTTTGAACCTGAAAAAGTATTTTTGTGGGGATTGTGCTTAAATACTTCAATAATCAGATAACCTTAGCCGAAAGTCATCGTATTTTGGCGGAAGTTTATAGCAAACATGCTCGAGCTGAGCACGAGTTTGAGTTGATTTGAGTATGAATTAAAAGAGGCAACGAAGAGCGTTCTGAGCGCCAAACAAATTTAAAGATTAGGCACTGTAAGCATTACACGATGCAGAATGCTGTCAAACACAAGAAGCGCTCACAGAATCTTTTTCGAGTCACTCAAGTAGCCATTTCAAATGTTTAAAAGCAGTCGGATACAGTCAAAAGCAAGTAAATGGGTTGTCATATAAATTGATGGCAAAAAACGATAAAAGACGCTTTTGCATGCTAGAAATGCTGCTTGTACACTATATCATGAAGTGGTTTTTGCAACGATTGTGATTGGTGTGAAGAAAAAGGGAACCAATACGACAACATTAAACGCAAAATCTTATGTGAAACCTACCTACCAGCCTACCAGCCAAATCAACGGCAAAGCCGAATATCCGTGACGTCAACGTAATGCTCTGTACTTGGTGGGCTAGCAGAGTGTGTTATATTGTAAACTTCTAAAACCGATTAAAATTATTAATGAAGAATGCTATCGAGAACAAGACTTCAAATTGAAAATTGAACCGAAGGAAAACGATCTTATTTGCGAGTTACACGAGAAATTAATTTTCCATCATGTTAAAGCTCGTCTTATGTTGCAAGACCGGGCATTAAACTTCCTATAAAATCTTTTTAAGTAGCATTTTAGTAGAGCAGTAAATTTCCTACAAAACTATAAGCTTTGCAATTTGAAATGATTTTTTTTTTATAAAATTCATAAAAAAAAAACAATTTGATTTAAAATAATCAAACTTTAACCCTTAAAATCTTTTAAACGATTGGATTTACGAAAAAATCTTATGATACCATTTTGTTCAGCATTCAATTTCCTACAAAACCTATGAAACCAAAAATTTTTTCAAGTAGTTGAAAGCGAGGTATGAATTTCTCTATCTGATAATAAGAAAAAGTAAATAAAAATGTAAGGCGTAGGACCTTGTCGTCACAAGTAAGAGCTCATACTTGGAGAGATTTTCTTAAATGTGTTTAAGAACCTATTTTTCAGAGTGTCAAGCGAAAAAAAGCATATTCGTTTTTTTGGCCCACCCTAATATATATACACCTATATAAACAAGCAATTTTTAGTATATACAAAAAATTATGCGAGCCAAATAAATGAATAGCCTGTTTGTCAGTTAAATGAACTTAACTAAAGCAAATGAGTACACTAATAGCGTTGGATCTAATTGCACGTCATTAGCGATAATATTATATATGTGCTGATTGAGACATTTTATTGTGTGAATTACAATAGTGGTGTTAGCTGATAACACTTAACTGTGTAAAGTAATCTTTTCAGCAATATCGCATTTCTAAGCACGTACTCGCTATAAATATCAACGGCTTTAAAAAGGTGGACCAATAAAACCACTTGTATGTATGTACTTACCTGACGTTGAATTATATATAATTGGTTGAGCGATAAGTAATCAGCTGTACTCATAAATTCCAAACATGTTTCTACAAACAGTTAGCTTAGTTAATACTAGTGTGATAAGCCAAAATTTATGCTCATGTACTTACTTTTTTATATAAATATGGACGTGTGATTGGTTTATTCTCGCGATTGGTACTTAGAGGTTTTTATATTCAAATATTAAATATGTAGACCAGGTTTGATAATTTTTGGAGGCAAAAAAAAGGAAGTACGAATATGAAGATAAAATAACAAAAATTAAAGGAAAAATAATTTATGGCCGAAAAAGGGGTGGGGGGTGGTTGAATTTTTAAGGGCTAAAAACGGCTTATCTCGATTTCCGTCAAAACTAAGAGTCATATAGAAAAATGTTTAAGGACAGGGTTGTGGAAATTGCAAAGCTCTACAACATTTGTATCAACACACGTTTCACATAAGCTCAAAATATATAAGAAAAATTTAAGTAACCAAGTTTTTGGTAATGTATTTTTAACTTTTGCAAACATTTATTTTCTTTCAAGAAATGTGGTGTAAACTAACCTTTATGTCCCAAATTACACTGTCATTTTTTTATTCAAAATATTTATTTCCACCGTTTTTTGACTTAATAACGAAAAAAGAACACTAATTTTCAATCAAAAACTCTCACGTTAAATAGTCTGCTTTTCTTTAAAAAAAGTTGGTAGGCTCTTTCTTCGTTGAAATATTTACTTTCTGATGGTATTACATATATATACATTATTATACTATGGAAAACGCTGAAAAAACTCCATTAAAGCATTGAAACGTAATTTTTTGAGAGTTGCTACTACGTAATAACAGGAACAACAAAAAAATGTATTCACCGCGTTCTACTACCCTCTGGATAACATGATTTCTTTGTCATACCTTTAAGAGCAGTTTGCCTTTATCCGCTGCTAAAAGTTCAGTAATTGTGATTATGTGATAATTTTGAGTCATTTAAAATTCGATCCATTCGGAATTATCATCTGTGCCGCCACGTTGCATAGAAAATCTCAGTAAACTAAAAAATCAGTAGAAACTATTTGTTTTTAAGACATTGCTTCTTAAATTAATACCCTTAGGTGCTTACCCACCTTGCCTATTTTCAATACTTCTACTTTTTCTAAATTATAATGTTATAACATTAAAAAAATTACTTTAAAAATTATTCTTATACTATTTTTAAACTAACAAATACTGAAAGTAATGAAGTATTAACTATTTACTGATTATCGCTTTGCTTACTTGTGACCTCAACGCGTATTTTAGAAATTTTGAATTCAAAAAACTTTTTTTTGTTCAAGGAAAAAACTATAATACCATATCTCATTCAAACAAACAATATTGAAGTGCAACCAATCATTCTGTGAGCATGCCAATGTTGACTGAAATAGTTGCTAAAATTCCAGAGCAATTTTCTTATTGTGCAACATACTTTTACCTAAGAAATTCGCTTACAATTTTGACAATTGTCTCATAAAACAAGTAAAACATTCTCTTTTTATACGCTTTTTTGCATTTGACATTATATGTTGTGTACCAGCTGCTCTCTTCAGCTTGATCACACTTTTTATGCCATACTAGTCGGCCTGTACACAAGCACGTTGAACATCTTTGCCACAAAAATGTGGAGCAAATGTAGGCATATAAATATCGTTGTTGCAGGCATGCAGGCAAAAACAAATAAACTTTCACTTTCTTCTGCGAAATATTTGCCAAATATGTCAGATAATATTTTTGGGCGAATTAAAAAAAAAAAAAATTTTACTTGCAACATATTTGTAACAGTTAGGCAAGCGGAATTCTCGTTGATTTTAAATAAATGAAATATAAAGTAAATTTAGGCATTTAATTGTATTGAAATTATTTTTATTTAGTACCGAAAAATATTGACCTTTGTCGTCTAACAAAACATACAAAAATTCAAAGCAATATTTTACACCAAAATTTTTCATAAATTTTCTACAAATTTTTGAAATTACTTAAATTCAGCGTAGCGCCACTTTATTTCGTTTACAAAACTATAAAAGAGCAATATTCTTGATTACAATGCATGCAGTAAAAAAAAATTACTACAACAACGTTAGTAAAAGTTCGACATCATTTAAATAGTACAAAAAATTGCAACAACAGCGTTGGTGAAAGTTTGCCAGGAAAGTATTAATTTCTGATATTGCCCAAATCAAACAGCAGCAAAAGACCGGCGCAATAGTCCACACAGTGTCTGACAAAAGTATGCTGATGACAACAAATTAGAAAAAATCGACAAAAGCGAAAATATTTGGCACAAGGTTCTTGGTGTTGCTGCCTTGCATAAGTACTAGAGCTTGTATTAAAACATAAAAAAATATCCAACGCTGAATTGTTGGACATATACCTCTAGTCTCTGCGCCTAAAAGCAGACTTCAGTTGCTCGGCTGTAAAAGACCTTCATGCAGACTTGCTTATGTCACAGTAACTAACACACTTTTTTTTACTTTATTGTAATTGTTGTACACAAAAGCACGCTGAAAACTGTATAGTAAGGCTTTAAGAAATTTATTTTCATACACATTTTGTTGCATTCTCCTGTATTGTCTGCTATTGTAGTATCCTCAACGCAAGCCAGCACATTTTCACTTCACACAATTGCTCGTTGACCGCTTAGATAATCCATGGTGAATTGCAACGTGTTAGCTAGATAAAGTTATAAATTATACATTTAATAGTAGTTTGCTTGGCGCTATGAATACTTGTTGGGGGAAATGAGAATGTGCACACACTTTATTGTTCACTTAGCTAATTGTTTGTAAACAATAACAGTAAAAGTGACCAATATCAGGTTTAGGTGAAATTGATATTTATTTGTTGGACATTTCAAGCACTCGATAGACTTTATATATATCACTTTGAAAACTCATTTCGTACAGATAAAGTTTAGAGTAAGAATATAATAATTTATAGTGAGGCTAAGACTAAGCTACACCAATGCACTCCCATTTGATTATTGTAGATATTCTCTCATTCACTCAGTCAACTTGCAAATTATGAATTTCTCCAATTTCGTCCTAGAAATCTTGCTTTATACATTTTGAAGTCGGTCCGCAATTTCCAAATTCCCATATTTTTAAAGTCTGACTCCAAAAGCATATCTCTCAAGATTTATTATGAAGAACTTGCACTTAAATTATATATTTGGTACTGCTCTGACCGAAATCACAGGCCAAGTAAATATTATATTTTTACAAGAGAAAGTTTGAATCCACTATTTTCTATAGAACTACTTTATATGGTAACATACTAAGACGAGAAATATTTTTATATCCAGATACATCTAGCATACCAAGAAAAAACTTTAAAGTAGTTTTAAAAAACGGTCTAAGCTTTGACTAGTTCCAGTCTAAGTTCCAATTGCATTGTAAGGTAGTAAGGGTTGCTTACCAAATTCGAAAGGTGGTCTTAACCACTCTCTTAACTATACAGGGTAACTCCAGACTACAACAAATTACTAACAACATCACCACAGCAACCATGCAACTTCTTGTTTGATCAATATCTACAAACTGTCAACTAAAACGAGAAAGTAAACAATAGTTCACTTAATTAGAAAACTCTTAAAAGAAGGTAGAAAACTCAAACGTACAAAAAAATTCAAATAGAAAACCAGAAACCATAGGAAAAAAAGCTTTGCTGAACAATCGAAGAAAAAACTAAAAATGTCGCTTTTCGAAAATCCTGATAGCATACGCATGCTGCGCGATTTACTCACACCCCCCGAGGAGCGAGACAATTCGGACACCGACGTCGATGAGCCGGTCGCCAGCACCACCAAGCAATGCAACAATTTCAGTAAGTGCGTCAACTAAATGTGAAAAAACCGCACGGAAAATACCGTAAACTCCACAAAATTTCCAAATGACTTGGTATTTTTTTGTAGCGCCCGCACATTTTGGCAGCAGCAACAGCAATGCAGTTGCCAGCAAGCAAAAACAAGCGCGCGGAGGAGAATCAACCGAACGCCCGACATTGCCAACAAGCATCGAAGAATGGCAAAAGCAGCAGGAGCAGATGGACAATGAGATTTTAGAGACGCGCCGGCGACCCGAGTACAGCATGACCTATCGGCAAGCGGTGGGCACCGAGGACCTCTATCTGCAGGTAGTAGCTGTAAAAGCAATAATATGTTGCACATATGAGCTGCAGTGTTTGAACAGCATTCTTTTTTTTTTTTTGTTGTCTACCGCTTACCTGCTTCTATTTTTTCATGTACGCCGTGCTGGGTGCGTGTGTATGTGAATAAACCCCGTTTTTTTACCGTTTGCCACCTCGCTGGTCACAGATGGGCAATCGCACTAATGCCACGGCCAGTTGTGAGGATTTGTTGCTCGAGATACTGCTGCCGGACGAGACGACACCGGCGGATAAAATGGATTTGTCAATTACCGAAGATGAAGTGGATTTGGCGACGCCAATTTATCGCCTCAAATTGCCACTGCCGCACAAGGTAAACGTGGACCGCTGTCGGGCCAAATATGTGGCCGAGCTGCGCAAACTCTGTCTGACATTGCGACTGCAACGTGAATTCGATTATGTGAACTTTTAGAAAGGCCAAGCGCTAAGCTGCTCAACGCTCGATAGTCGCTGCACTAAAACAACAACAACTAAAATGACAACAACCACAGCAAAATGTAAAGTAAAAATGACATTGCACTGCAGTGGATTTGTTCTTCGCTCTATTTTGTATGCAATAAATTTTATTGAGCAGCTAATAAATGTGTGTGTGTCGGTGCGTTGTTGTTGCACCACCTGTGTGGGTTAAATGAGTGCATGTGCGCCACTTTAGGAGATTATGTCATGCAAATGCGATTTGCGCTTAAGTTGGCTGCGGTATTTTGGTGCTTTGCAGTAGCGGTTAAGTCACTGCTAAGCGACCTTGCAGCGTGCGGTAAAAATATATGCAACTGAGCTGCGCCCGAAAACTAATACCTACAAAAAATGTTTACAGCAGAGGACTAAAAACTTAAAAACTGCGCTTTTGAATTTAAATTCAATACTATAAAGCTGAATCACAGCTGTGTGGGTAAATGCTGAAAAAGATGCTGAGAGATTTACTAATTTAGTTTTTAAGTAGGAGTTGTTTCAAGATCCTTTGGACCTAGAGTAAAACGCAGACGATCTTCTATACTACTTTTTCTTGGCAAAGTACAACTTATCGCAATCGTAGTGGTGTTTACTGGACACTGTTCAATAGACATTCATACGGTAAGGCTGAAAATATTGCCGGACGTAATTTGTCAAAATTTTTGTGGAGAAGGGTGAGGGAGAAACATACCGACACTTTCTCCTTCTTGGTCCAGATCTAGCAAGACTGAGGCTGGAATATCTAGACATTACTACTTTTGGTGAACCAGAAGACATAGCCGAAACTGACATTAGCCGTCTCAACATCAATTTGTAACGGTCTTATGATCTTTTATATAAGAGTTTTGAGTACCACAATGCTCCGGCGTTCTAAACTGTTCAAGTGAGATTCCTGTTAGGATCGACCTCTTAACCCTAACTAATCTAACCTAGAATTAATTGTTAATATGAGCTATTAGGCTAGCATGAATACTGGGCTACCATATACCTATGAGCGATTGGACAACTTGAAATTGCTAGCGCCTGTAGGCACAGCCTATCAAAATCTTTCACAGACGATGGAACTGCACTGGCAAAGTAAGTCAGTAGATATACGCGCCTTACTCCTATCCAAAGGCAGCACATTAGAAATGCCTTTTAGAATTGTAGTTTTGTTTTGTTGATTATATTTGCAATGATGGGAAAAATGTTTGCCTACATTTGGGCGTATTCTCTGTAAGTTAGCGGAGTCACACACCTGGAGTTGAAATTAAAAAAGTATTATATGCATGTTGTGTAGCTATTAAACATTAAAGTACAACTACAAACGTTTAATTCGAGAGCATGTTTCAACAACTGGCACGAGTTAATTTAACGAAAACGCAAAAAACATGTCTGCAGGGAAGACATAGTATATACATTATTTCATTTTTTTTTTGTCTACTTTTTAACTTTTTTAACAGAGTTTCATGCCGCTTGAACAACTCTGTGCTGCATATGCCACACATTATTGCTACTAATTTGAAATTAATGCGCAGACTAGCAATGCTTGCAGCTAAGTGGAGGTAGCAAACCATTTTAGTGACATTAGCAGCATACTTACAGTCGTTTTGTGGGGCTTGTTGCCGAGGCAGCGTACTTAGCTTATAATTTGCGCTAAAAAGGCAAAAGAAAAAACGCTGCGTACAAAACAAGCACGACATTTTTGTACACTTTATTAAAGCTTATTTATATGCATTTGCTTCATTTTTCATTTGTATATTTAATTTTTTTTTTGCATCCACTCGCGATGTCTCAACAGCTTTGCTAGTCAAAATTTGTCACTAAATATTCAAATGCATATATATGCATGCAAAGCGTGTTTTGCCAACGCAAGAGCGAAGGACTCCGCGCTGCAAGGACTCCGACAGTGAAGTTGTGGCACAGCACTCGACATAAATGTAATTTGCATAGCATAAGGGCAGGCGTAGCATACAGGCATTTTTACGAGCTAGCATTTACAAACAAACACATGGTGTGCATGCGTTAGTGCGGGTGTCATGTGTAAGGCGCCAAACTGCCAGTATGTATATTAAAAGGCACAAATTTCCATATGCGCCCACACACACATGTGCCCCTATATGTATGCTTACATCTCAGTTTGGCTTAAAAAACTGATTACAAGCAACTGCGGTCGTAAAATTCGCTTAAATATATCTGAGCATAGTCAACTATGTGGCAAAGCTAAAAGTCAACAACCGCGCTAAAATTAAATACTGTAGCGAAGATGCTGCTGTGAGGGAATGAAAGCCCGCATAATTTGTTTTAGCTTTTAGGTATGCTCAAAATAATATTCGAGTCGCGCAAAATGCTTGTTTATTATGAAGTTAATCTGTGTTTTTGGAAGGCTGCAAGCGAGCATGCCGTAAAAAACGCGTTAAGCGCCTAAAAGCATGCTAACAACATGGTCTGGCGCTCGATTTAACTATATAAGCCAGCTACAGGTAAGCAATATGAGGATGCGCGCATATAAATATCGTTATATATATACTTTTTCCACAGCTTTTTGTTTCTGTTGTTAATTTTGGCTGCTTTCTCCTTTTTATTTACTTCTGTGACCACCTCCTTCTCCTGCTCTAAATTTTACGTGTTTATGCTGTAATTATATGCCGCCATTTGGTGTTATTTCCTGTTTCCTGTATCACACTTGTCACATATGCCGCTTAAGTAATTGCTAATGGTATGGATTATGTCTTCATTATGGTCAATTTGGAGCGTAAAATGTATGACTAAGTTGTGTTAACAAGTTATATCTCTTCTAATAGATTAACGGAGCTGCTGTATTAAGTTGAATGTGCTGTGTTCTAAATTTTATATATTTATTTCTAACGAAAGTGCGTCGCTTTGGTACCTTTTATGTGGCTTTAAAAACTTTTTAGTGTCTTCCGAGACTTTTATCTGCATTTTAAAGGCTCTTTAATGACGCTTTAATAACTCTAGAGAACTTTTAATGTATTCCAAGATATTGTTGAGCACAAATATGGAAAGTAAGACGTTGGCTAAAAGAAAAGTAGCATTTGAATGAATTTCAAAGTGAGTTCTAAGTATTGTTTCCAGTTTTAAATAAATATGCTGAGCCAAAGTTAACTTCGATATGGATTATCTTGCTTTTGTAATGGATCTTCTATTATGACACGCTAAGCTGCTGTCTGCTTCATCGAACGTCTAGTATATGAACATGTATACCTCAACCGACAGCTTATACAGTTTAGGTGGTTACGGTATAGAACAATTTTATTCACCCTCCCTACTAGAATATAGAGCAGCTCAGAATTACGAAAAGTTTGGATTTCATACGATTTGTGCAATAACCGATAACATTTTGATACTACACTTACAGTATTTAAATATCTAGCACCTTTGCTTACTGTTAGTAAAAATCAATCAGCAAAACTTTCATAATTTTTGAGAAAGTTAAGGTAGTAAGTCTGGTTAGTTTGAAAAAATCGGCTATTTTTTCACAAGCACTTTATATTAAAAATACACTGTAAAATTTTTAGCGCGAATAACGAAATATTGTTGAAGTTATAGCACCTATACTGGAGCCTCAAGTAGTAGTACGCATATAAATAACAACATATTTAATCTGTTGTTGAAAGCTTAAACGCATTTTTCTCGAAACAACATTCGTACGTTCGAAATGAATTCGAAAATTGTCTAACTAACCGATCGGGCTGAAGTTTGCATATGTTATTCTGCTCATCAATAGCTTCCGCAGGAACTAGGAGCTTCTTTTTTGTCGCTAACTTTCCGTTTTACGGCACGCTTTCTATTTTAAAAATTTAACTTTTTTTTCGAAGTCAACCATTTTTTATTTTTGAAGGAAATTGTTTAATCCTGGTTCTAACTAAAATAACAAGCTCACAGAAAAATAATCTTTTCGATTTTTTCATTCCAAGTGTCCTCAAGCGATTATTTTTTTCAAATAAAATATTCACAAAAGAGCATTATAAAAAATGCAAGTTACCAGACTACTACCTTAAATAAAAATAGTAAAAATAAATATTGAAAATATAAAATAAGTATAATAAACATTCTCTCAAATTTATGTAGATTAAAAAGAATAATAAAAAGTAACTTATTATTATTATTCTTTTTTATATAAACCATTTAAGAATTGCAGTTGCTTTCCGTTTAGTGCGTGAAAATTACAGCCTAAAGGTATGCTATTATGTTTAATCTTTAAATTAACATTTTTTAGTAAATTCCAATCAATTCGAATTGTATTTCTACCCTACTAATTTAATATTTTACATATTGTATTCTGATTTATTGTTCTAACTAGTTATTTCTTATATGTATTATAAATTCAGCCATCTAGGCGTATGAGTGCTGTGAAAAAGCGCTTAGAACTATTTTTAATTAAAGGGGTATTCTGGTCTAAAAGCTAATTATAGGCTCTTTTTCGCACACGATAAAAAAAAACAAAAAATATTTTGACTTTAAATTTTTTATTGACATTAAAATAGTACAAAACATTTAAAATATTTAAAAAAAATTCAAAACAATTCCAGGGTGGCAAAGTGGGAGATGATGAAAAAATGGCGTGTTCTGGTGTGCAGGATATCAGGACTCCCAGCAACTTGAAATGGAAATTTTTGAGCGGAAGAATGTAGTTATAGCACAACGAGGGGATTGGGAAACTATTTTTTTTACAAAATGGCGGCTGTTTGAAAAATATATTTTGTTATTTGCCTGTTTTTTTGCCGTTCGGAATTTTTTAAAAATATAAAAAAAACGTTCCAAAAATTCTCTCGTAGTGCGTTAATAGTAATATAAATAATATGAAGAAGCTCTGTATTTCAAGTTAATCGATTGAGTAGAACTTGAGATATCATGCACACCGTTTCTAAAAAAGTAGTTCAGAGAAAAACGAATATATAGCACGCGCCGAGCTACCAGTCGACTTGGTCGGCGCATCACAAAATAAGCTGTAATTCCGAAAATCTTTTTAGCGACATATTTTTAAAGGGTTCTGCTATAAAAATATGCAAAAAAATTGATTTTTTTTAAATCTCTAAACCTCCTTAAAGGTAGCTATCAATTTCTGCCACGTAGCTTACATAACTTCGAAAATAATACACTAATAAAATATACATCATTGCCAGTCTCGT